CACTACATGCTTGGCACTCTGTGGCACTACATGCTTGACGAACTGTGGCACTACATGCTAGACACACTGTGGCACTACATGCTTGAAACACTGTGGCACTACATGCTTAACACACCGTGGCACTACAAGCTTGACAAGCTCTGGCACTACATGTTTGACACTCTGTGGCACTACATGTTTGACACGCTGTGGGACTACATGCTTGACACACTGTGGCACTACATGCTTGACACACTGTGGCACTACATGCTTGACACACTGTGGCACTACATGCTTGACACACTGTGGCACTACAAGCTTGACACACTGTGGCACTACATGCTGGACACACTGTGGCACTACAAGCTTGACACACTGTGGCACTACATGCTTGACACACTGTGGCACTACATGCTTGACACACTGTGGCACTCCAAGCTTGACACACTGTGGCACTGCATGCTAGACACACTGTGGCACTAACATTGCCATTGACACAACCTGTGGCACTACATGCTTGACACACTGTGGCACTACATGCTTGACACACTGTGGCACTACACTGACTTGGTACACACACTGTGGCACTACAAGCTGACACACTGTGGCACTACATGTTTGACACACTGTGGCACTAATCACAACTCTGGACACACACTGTGGCACACATTACACATTGCCTTGGACACACTGTGGCACTAACATGCTTGACACACTTGGCACTAAATGCTTTGACACACTGTGGCACTACAATGTTGACACACTGTGGCACTATATGCTGGACACACTGTGGCACTACAACTTGCTTGGACACAGCTGGACACTGTGCACATGCTTGACACACCTGTGGCACTACATGCTTGACACACTGTGGCACTACATGCTTGACACACTGTGGCACTACAAGCTTGACACATTGTGGCACTACATGCTGGACACACTGTGGCACTGCATGCTTGACACACCGTGGCACTACATGCTTGACACACTGTGGCACTACATGCTTGACACACTGTGGCACTACATGCTTGACACACTGTGGCACTACATGCTTGACACACTGTGGCACTACATGCTTGACACACTGTGGCACTACATGCTTGACACACTGTGGCACTACATGCTTGACACTGTGGCCTACATGCTTGACACACTGTGGCACTACATGCTTGACACACTGTGGCACTACATGCTTGACACACTGTGGCACTACAAGCTTGAACGACACATGTTGCACTACAATGCTTGGCACTCTGTGGCACTACATGCTTGACACACTGTGGCACTACATGCTTGACACACATTGTAGCACTACATGCTTAACACACCGTGGCACTACAAGCTTGACACTCTGTGGCACTACATGCTTGACACACTGTGGCACTACATGCTTGACACACTGTGGCACTACAAGCTTGACACACTGTGGCACTACATGCTTGACACACTGTGGCACTACATGTTGAACACTGTGCACTACATGCTTGACTCACTGTGGCACTACATGCTTGACACACTGTGGCACTACAAGCTTGACACACTATGGCACTACATGTTTGACACACTGTGGCACTACAAGCTTGACACACTGTGGCACTACATGTTTGACACACTATGACACTACATGTTTGACACACTGTGGCACTACATGCTTGACACACTGTGGCTCTACATGTTTGACACACTATGGCACTACATGTTTGACACACTATGACACTACATGCTTGACACACTGTGGCAGTACAAGCTTGACACACTGTGGAGGCACCTCTACATGTTTGACACACTGTGCACTACATAGCTTGACACACTGTGGCACTACATGCTTGACACACTGTGAGCACTACATGCTGAACTGTGGCACTACAGCTTGACACTGGCACTACATGTTTGACACACTGTGGCACTACAAGCTTGACACACTGTGGCATACCTGACATCTGTGACACAGCTTGAGTGCACTACATGTCTTGACACACTGTAGCACTACATGTTTGACACACTGTGGCACTACAAGCTTGACACACTGTGGCACTACATGCTTGACACACTGTGGCACTGCAATGCTTGACACCTGTGCACTACAGCTGCACATGTGGCACTACATGCTTGACACACTGTGGCACTACATGCTTGACACACTGTGGCACTACATGCTTGGACATCACTGTGGCAACTACATGCTTGACACACTGTGGCACTACATGCTTGACACACTGTGGCACTACATGCTTGACACACTGTGGCACTACATGCTTGACACACTGTGGCACTACATGCTTGACACACTGTGGCACTACATGCTTGACACACTGTGGCACTACATGCTTGACACACTGTGGCACTACATGCTTGACACACTGTGGCACTACATGCTTGACACACTGTGGCACTACATGCTTGACACACTGTGGCACTACAAGCTTGACGCACTGTTGCACTACATGCTTGGCACTCTGTGGCACTACATGCTTGACACACTGTGGCACTACATGCTTGACACACTTTGTGGCACTTGACATGCTTGACACACTGTGGCACTACAAGCTTGACACACTGTGGCACTACATGCTTGAGCACTGTGCACTACATGCTTGCACCTGTGGCACTACATGCTTGACACACTGTGGCACTACATGCTTGACACACTGTGGCACTACATGCTTGCACATCATGTGGCACTACATTGACGCTCTGTTGACACACTGTGACACTACACTTGACACTGTGTACATTCTTGACACTGTGACACTACATCTTGACACACTGTGGCACTACATGCTTGGCAACTCTGTGGCACTACATGCTTGACACACTGTGCACTACATGTTGACACACTGTGGCACTACATGTCTTGACACACTGTGCACTACATGACATACCATGTTGGACACCTGTGGACACTACATGCTTGACACACTGTGGCACTACATGCTTGACTGCACACATTTTAATGGACACTACATGCTTGAACTAGACACACTGTTGCACACTTACACATGCTTGACACACTGTGGCACTACATGCTTGACACACTGTGACACTACATGCTTGACACACTGTGACACTACATGCTTGACACACTGTGGCACTACATTTTTGACACACTGTGGCACTACATTTTTGACACACTGTGGCACTACATGTTTGACACACTATGACACTACATTTTTGACACACTGTGGCACTACATTTTTGACACACTGTGGCACTACATGTCTGACACACTGTGACACTACATGTTTGACACACTGTGGCACTACATGTTTGACACACTATGACACTACATGTTTGACACACTGTGGCACTACATGCTTGACACACTATGACACTACATGTTTGACACACTGTGGCACTACATGTTTGACACACTATGACACTACATGTTTGACACACTGTGGCACTACATGTTTGACACACTATGACACTTCATGTTTGACACACTGTGGCACTACATGTTTGACACACTATGACACTACATGTTTGACATACTGTGGCACTACATGCTTGACACACTATGACACTACATGTTTGACACACTGTGGCACTACATGTTTGACACACTATGACACTACATGTTTGACACACTGTGGCACTACATGCTTGACACACTGTGGCACTATATTCTTGGTACTCTGTGTTTCTGCACTCTGATCAATCACGTGTAGTGCTCTTTGATCTTTCATTTTTAATGTTCCCTGATAATACCCAATAAACAATCTTACATTCTTGCCGCTAGGTTAAATCTTCAAATCTAGATATATTTCAACCACATTAACTATTGAAGTACATAATTCAATTGTTGTAGCTTGGTGCAGCACACGCTGGTAAATGTTACAAAGTTAATTAAAATTATCTGGATAATAGCGCCTCTTGGAGGCCCTTGTACTCAATAGACCGATGTATCGCCGTGCACTGTAAACTTGTGACATCATAGGACAACTTTACAATATATAGAAAACATTCACTGCCATTGTCGACTCTGAAGAATACTTAAAGTTTTGGATATATTTAAAATCAGTCGGTTTTTTTTATCTAGACAGCAAGCGAGTCAATTATATCATTATTTATTCTTGGAGATACGTAAGATCTATTTTTTTCCTCATGATTGTTGAGTGGATGATAGAATATAAACAGGCAGTCTACACGACTACTTAATAAGCATAAAGATTATTAAGCTTCCAAAGCTTTTACTTCACACACGATAAAAATTAAGCTCAAGCCTTCATTCACTGAGTTTTTAAAACACATATATAGTCAAACTAGTACAACAGGAATAAACAATTATTATACGTGGAGAGGATTTCAGGCCCCTGCGGCCCGATCTGTGACCGGGTCTCATGGTGGTTTACGGCCTGATCAACCAGGCTGTTACTCTTGGCCGCACGTAAACCGACGTACGAACCTCAGCCCGGCTGGTCAGATACTGACTTTAAGTGTCTGTTCAAAGTCTTCTTGAAGACAGCCAGGGGTCTCTCAGTAATCCCCATTATGTATGCTGGGAGGTAGTTGAACAGTCTTGGGCCCCTGACACTTATTGTGTTGTGTCTTATCGTGCAAGTGACACCCCAGTTTTTCATTGCGAGGATGATGCATTTTCTGCCGAGTCTTTTCCTTTCATAAGGAGTGATTTTCGTTTGCAAATTTAGTAGTAATCACTCTAGGATTTTCCAAGTGTATATAAATAATCATGTGTCTCTCCCGCCTGCGGGAGGTCGAGGAACTTCAAACGCTACCAGTAATTGAGGTGTTTTATCTCAGTTATGTGTGCCGTGAAGGTTCCCAGTACATTTTCCAGGTCAGCAATTTCACCTGCCTTGAAAGGTGCTGTTAGTGTACAGCAATATTCCAGCCTAGATAGAACAAGTGACCTGAAGAGTGTCATCATGGGCTTGGCCTCCCTAGTTTTGAAGGATTATAAAAATACCTCACGATTTTTTTTTTTTTTTGAATGATGAAAAATACAAAGAGAGACCAGTCTTTCTACCAATATATTGAAATCATATCTATTTCTACTTCAGGATGTATGGTTCAGAAGAATGGGTCTATCTTCCACGTGATGTATGACTCAGTCGAATTCGAGGCTTACGTTCCGCCTAAGTTCCTTCTACCACCTGACTCCTCCCAAGTACCTGACACCGTAGGATCTGCCAAATCGAAACCAGCCAGTTCCAACAACAAGCAGTCTCGACACCTCTTTTCAGCTCTAATGCAGTGCGACTTGGATGATGATTTTGACTTTCTGTCAGTGAAAAGCAACAGTGTCGAGTTGAAGAGAACACGACGCCACAGTGTAAATAAATCATTCTATGAGTCTGAGGTGGGTGAATTAGCAGGAGGATGGGAACAGTTTAGTCTGGGACTGGTGGGAGAGTACAAACTTACTGACGGACAAGGCAACTCTTGGCTTCCACCCAACATCACCATCGACTGCCCCTTGACACACATGACAGTGCAGGAAGGAATGTTAACGCGCCATTGCCTCTCTTGGACACCTACCTGGAAAGTGACTGGCCCTAAGAACATTGTCTTTCCCTTAAATGTTTGTAATCAAGACAGTGAGTCCAGACAGATAGTCTCACTATTTTCTAAGGCAAACTTCACCCCAACCTTCATCACTGGCAGAAGTAAGATCGTACTTGGATGGAGAGATGGAAATATGTTATCAACAGAACACTTGGATCCCCTCCCTCCTAGCATGTGGCATTCTCTGCTCTTCCTGACGAAGATAAGTGGCTCCAGCATCATACTCACGGTAAGACAACTCCTTATGTGTTTAACACAGCTCAGTCATGACACTCAAACATACATCATTAATAGATACATTTTTTTCAGAAAATGAGGGAGAGTTTGAAAGTGCGTGAGAGTTGTATGTGTGTGTATGTATGTGTTTGTGGGTGAGGGTGTGTGTGTGTGTATGAGTGTATGTTTGTGTATTTGTCTGTGTGTCAATATTTTCGTATGTGTGTGTGCAGGTTTGTAAGTCAGTTTCCATGGGTTTATCCGTTTGTGTTTGCATGTGTGTGTGTGTGTGTGCGTGCGCTATTTTGTATGTGAGTGGGTGTCTATCGTCATGTGCCTTTCACAGTCGGTAACAAATACACACACACACACACACACACACACACACACACACACACACACACACACACACACACACACACACACACACACACACCGAGTCTCGACCCCTGCAACCACAATTAGGTGAGTACAATTAGGTGAGTACACACACACACACCAATACTTTCATGGAAATAAGTAGTTTAAATCAAAGAATACACTGGCCGGGAATTAATTCCAAGTCGTCTTGGAAGCCATCATGCCACAAGACGTCAGATGTCCAGTAAGAACACTAAATATGCTTCCCCTAGCAACGGACACCTAACATCTTCTGGCATTATGGCGGAGTGTTTTAATGTGTCCAGAGGTTAGGCAGCTTCCCCGGAAGCTGTCTAGTCGACATGGGTGCAATTCTACATCGGTCACAGTGTGCTCTTTGCTTGCAAGCATTTCTTTCCGTGGATGCTTTGATTTGTGTTGTGCTCGTCAGACCGGAATCCAAACGGGAGGATAATGAAATTAGTCCCTGAGCTCACCACTCGACTCCAGGGAAAACATGTCAATTGTTCTCACTTGACACCTAACGTCTTATGGCACGGTAACATAGTGGTCTAGGACGTCAACAGTTTAGCTAGCTTTCCGGGAGGCTGTCAAGACGACTCGGCTTTAATTCCCAGCCAGTTGCAGTATTTCTATGGTTTAAACCATTTTCCGTGGATACATTGATGTACGTTTGCATGTGTGTGTACTCACCTAGTTGTACTTACCTAGTTGTGCTTGCAGGGGTCGATTCACAACTCCTGGCCCCGTCTCTTCTCTGTCTGCTACTAGGTCACTCTTCCTGCTGCATGAGCTTCATCATACCTCTTTTTAAAGCTATGTATAGGTCCAGCCTCCACTATATCACTTTCCAGGCTATTCCACTTTCTGATAATTCTGTGACTGATGAAATACTTCCTAACATTCCAGTGATTCATCTGAGTCTTCGAATTCCAACTGTGACCCCTTGTTTCTGTGTCACATCTCTGAAACATCCTGTCTCTGTCCACCTTGTCGATTCTTCTCAGTATTTAATATATCATTATCATATCCCCCCTATCTCACCAGTCCTTCAGTGTCGTCAGGTCAATTTCCCTTAACCTCTCCTCGTAGGACATGCACCTTAGCTCCAGGACTAGTCATGTTGCAAACCTTTGCACTTCTATAATTTCATTATATGCTTGGCTTGGTGTGGGTTCCAAACGAGTGCTGCATACTCCAATATGAGCCTAACGTACACATTGTACAGGGTTCTGAACGATTCCTTATTATAATGGCGAAATGCTGTTCATAGGTTTGCTAGGCGCCTGTAGGCTGCAGTAGTTATTTGGTTGATGTGCGCCTCAGAAGATGAGCCCGGTGTTATACTCACCCAAAGGTCCTTTCCCTTGAGTGAGGTTTGTAGTATCTGGCCCCCTACACTGTACTCCGTCTCCAGTCTTCTTTGCCATTCCCCAGTCTTCATGACTTTGCACTTGATGGCGTTGAACTCCAGGAGCCAGTTGCTGGACCAGGTCTGCAGTCTGTCCAGATCTCTTTGTAGTTATGCCTGGTCCTCATCCGACTGCTTTCTTCTCATCAACTTCACATCATCTGCAAACAGGGACACTTCGGAGTCTATTCCTTCCGTCAAGTCGTCCACAAATACGAAGAATAGCACCGGTCCTTGGACTGACACTTGTGGAACCCCGCTCGACACAGATACCCACTCTGACATTTTGCCACGTAGCATTACTTGGTGTCTTCGTGACAGGTATTCCCTGATCCATTACAGTGCATTCTTTGCTATCCCTGCCTAGTTCTCCAGCTTTTGCACTAATCTGTTGTGTGGAACTGTGTCAAAAGCCTTCTTACAGTGCAAGAAAATGCAGTCTACCCACCCCTCTCTCTCTCTCATGTCATACTCCTGTCACCCTGTCATAGAACTCCAGTAGGTTTGTGACACAGGATTTCCCGTCCCTGAAACCGTGCTGGCTGTCGTTGATTTGCTCATTTCTTTCTAGGTATTCCACCACTCTTCTCCTGATAATCTTCTCCATGATTTTGCATATTATACATGTCAGTGACACTGGTCTGTAGTTTAATGCTTCGTGTCTGTCTCCTTTAAAAACTGGGACTACATTTGCTGTCTTCCATACCACAGGTAGTCGCCCTGTTTCGATAGATGTGTCGAATATTGTTGTTTGGAGAACACATACAGCCTCTGCTCCGTCTCTCAGGACCCATGGAGAGATGTTTTCCGGCCCCATCGCCTTTGAGGTATCTTTTGACTAATGAGGTGTTTTAATCTATTGTTTATCAAATTGGAATCATTTTTTATATTTCTAATTACCTAACTCGGAACAAAAGTCGTCTGGGCAGGTAGCACTATGCTCTGAAATACTGCTATCTGCCCAGACAACTTTTATTCCGAGTAGGGAAATTAGACCTAACAAAAATGATCGCAAATGGATAAACAATAGATTAAAACATCTCATTGATCAAAGGAGAGACATATATAGGCGTATCAAAAGAGGGGATGGGCAGTTAAGAAATCAATATATTCAATTAAAGAGAGAAATAAAAAAAAGGAATAAGAAAAGCTAAAAGGGATTATGAGGCTAAGGTCGCAAGGGATTCGAAGACTAACCCAAAAGGGTTCTTTCAGATATACAAAAGTAAGATTAGAAATAAGATAGGCTCACTTAAAAGTAACTCAGGTCAGATCATTGACAGTGATAAAGAAATGTGTGTGAACTTTTCAATACCTACTTCCTCTCAGTTTTTACTCAGGAAGATACTAGCGAAATTCCAGAAATAATAAATTACGTAGAACAGGATGATAATAAACTATGCACTGTTAGGGTAACTAGTGACATGGTTCTCATACAAATACAAAAATTAAAACCTAAAAAGTCCCCAGGCCCTGAAGAACTGTTTGCTAGGGTTATAAAGGAGTGTAAAGAGGAACTTAGCATACCTTTGGCTAATCTTTTCAATATATCACTACAAACTGGCATATTGCCGGACTAGTGGAAATGGCAAATGAAATACCTATTTACAAGGCAGGTGACAGGTCCTTAGCTTCAAACTATAGACCAATAAGCCTTATCTCCATAGCTGGTAAATTTATGGAATTAATAATTGCCGAATCAATTCGTAGCCATGTCGAAAAGCATAAATTGATTAATGAATCTCAACACAGTTTTACAAAGGGGGGTTCCTGTCTTACGAATTTACTAACTTTCTTCACAAAGATATTGAGGGGGATAGATCATTGTATTGAAAATGATATTGTGTATATGGACTTCAGTAAGACTTTCAACAGAGTTCCACATCAGAGGCTGTTGAGAAAACTTGAGGCACACGAAATAGGAGGAGAAACTAGATCCTGAGTAGAGGCATGGTTGACAAATATGCAACAGAGAGTTTGCATAAATGAGGAGAAATCAGAATAGGGGCACATCACAAGCAGTGCTCCACAGGGGTCAGTGTTGGGATCCTTGTTGTTCACAATTTACATAAACGATGTAGATGAAGGAACAAATAGCGACATAAGTAAATTTGCTGATGACACCAAAATAGGTCGTCCAGTTCATTCTAAGGAGGACATTAAGCACTCCAGGATGATTTGAATAGACTGATGCAGTGGTTGGAGAAGTGGCAGATGCAGTTTAATATAGACAAATGCAAAGTTCTAAATGTTGGACAGGAAAATAACCATGCCACATATAAACTAAATAATATAGATCTTAATATTATGGATTGCAAAAAGGATTTAGGAATTCTGGTTAGTAGTAATCTGAAGCCAAGACTACAGGACAGAAGTGTTCGCAATAACACTAACAGAATCCTTGGTTTCATATCAAGAAGTATAAATAATAGAAGTCCTAGGTTGTTCTTCAACTCTATATATCTTTAGTTAGGCCTCATTTAGATTATACTGCACAGTTTTCGTCACCCATTTACAGAATGGATATAAGTGCACTGGTAAACGTACAAAGGAGGAAAAAAGTTGATCCCATGTATCATAAATCTTCCCTATGAGGATAGACTGAGAAAAAGGGAGATATGATTGAGGAGTATAAATGGAAAGCAGAAATTAATAAAGAGGATGTAAATAGTGTGCTAAAAATATCTAGCATAGCCAGGACTCGCAGCATTGGAAAAATTCAGATTCAGGAAGGATATAGGAAAACACTGGTTTGGTAATACAGTTTTGGATGAGTGGAACTAAACTCCCGAGTACAGTCACAGAAGCTAAGACATCGTGTAGTTTTAAAAATAAGTTGGATAAATACACGAGTGGTTGTGGGAGGGTGTGAGTTGGATCTAACTAGCTTGGCTTATGCCAGTGGGAGAATTGGACCTGGCTTTGCATGGGCCAATAGGCATGCTGCAGTGTTCTTTTTTTCTTATGATTTTCTTCTTGTGTTGGCTGTATGTGATGTGTCCAACAATTGACGGTGTACCCCACCTCTCTGTCTTTCTGGAGTCGCTTCTGTCTCCTCTGTGAACACTTCTTTGAATCTCATAATGAGCTCCTCACATACTTTGTGGTCCTTTCTTGTGATCTCTCCTCCTTCCTTCCTCAGCCTGATTACCTGGTCCTTGACTGTTGTTTTCCTCCTGATGTGGCTGTACAACAGTGTTGGGTCAGATTTGGCTTTTGCT